TTCATGAGACTTTCAGCAGGTGGTGCAACTGTCCTAAAAAAAACCTGCTACTTCTCCCAAGTATTTACAGACTGCAGTTGGAGATGGCTGAAAATCAGGTGGTTCTTTCTGTTGGGCAGCAGGTCAGGTATAATCTAACTGGGTGGGAAACACAGGTACCAGTTCAGGACATGGCCATTTGTTCTATAAGAAGAATGACTTGTCACAAGGGGGGAATGGCTTTGAACAGAGAGAGTGCAGGTTTAGGTTGGATATTAGGAACAAATGCTTGGCTGGGAGGGTGGGGAGGCCTGGCACGGGTTGCCCAGAGAAGCTGTGGCTGCCCCTGGATCCCTGGAAGTGTCCAAGGCCAGGTTGGACAGGGCTTGGAGCAACCTGGGCTAGTGGAAGGTGTCCCTGCCCATGGCAAGAGGGTGGAACTCGATGATCTTTAAGGTCCCTTCCACCCAAATCATGTTCATATGATTCTCTGAGTCTCTAGTCATGGCACATTTCTCTTGTTTATGATATTCATTCACCAGATGGGGCAAGAAACCTGTCTGACCCATTTTAATCACTGCCTTAATTACCCTGGGAATACAATCAATCTCACTTTGTGCTTCCCCAGCTCCTGAGGGCCCCAGAACTTCCAACCCAGATAAAAATCTGTTGCATTTGCATTAGTTGATCTTACTTTGGTTGGGTGCTTAATTTGGCAGGACTGACATGAGATTAATTGAAATCAGGCATGTTTCAAGAAAAAAACTTTCTGCCTTTGGCAGTTCACTCCTCACTCTAAAACATAACTAATGATTATGATGACTGTGAAAAGTTTTTAGGAAGAAAACCCAAATAATAATAAAATTATCATTAAAAAGCTCTCTGCTATATTTTGAATTGCCTCAGGTGCTTAGATATTTTGATGGATCTATCTCCCAATATTTTCAGGCATAAAGAGGAGTTTCTGTCTAAAACACCAGTGAAAAAAAAGGTGGAGTTATTGTTCCTCCAGTCACTTCTTGAGCCCTTCAGTCTGGAATGGGATCAGCACATGCAGGCAGTTCTGAGGGGGAACTAAAGGCATGAGAAAGGTAAAGAATGACTGAACATACAAGTTGATAAAATGGAATTTTATCATGACTGAAGCACTTGATCATTGCAGGAAATTGTTAGGAATCAGCCACATATTTCCAAGGTTTTTTTCAGCTGTTGCATACAATGATCATCAGGTTATTTAGAGAGAAAGTCTGACATTTTTAGAGGAGTAAAGCACTCAAAATGTGCTGCAAATGATACAAATGATTGATTTTTTTTTAAAGCCAGTCTTATATTCCCCAGTGGCTACACTGTATTAATCAATCCTCAGTTCCTCAGCTTTCTTTTTCCATGGTCCTGTCACAGTTCCCAGGGAACTTCACTGGTGGGAGATTTTAATAATGAATATATTAATCTTTGAATTTAAGCCCATCCCCAAGGCTTTTAAAGTCAAATACAGGCTTAAGTGCCTTGCAGAACCGTGACCATCATCTTTATAAAATGAAACCAGAGGTAGATTTTCCTAAATAAAATAACCATTAGAAGGGCCTGAACTTAAACATGTACCATACAGATAAGAAGAAAATAAATCCTACTTCAAGTCACAAGTTTTTGGGGTCTTTCATTTTCTTTTTTTTTTTTTTTTGATGATGGAAGTCCCAGTTGGTTAAAGGGTTATTCCAATATATAATATTGGAATAAATTTAAATCCCTGCTGCAGGTACCATGCAGTATTACCTTCAGAAACAGGCTGAAAATCCTTCCTCGACCTCAATCCTTCCTCAGCTACTGAAGTGAAAGCACTCAAGGGTGTTGTGGGATGAAGATGTGGATGGAGAGTTTGCTCTGATGGAATGATGTCGTAATTGTTCAGAACAGCAAAGTAGAACATGGAAAGTGCTCAATATGGACCACAATCTAAATTCCACAGAGATTTCAATATGAGGACAGAACCAGACTGCCATCTGACTTTTCCCTTCCTTACAACAACCTCTTTTTTTTTTTATTTACAGGGTTTGCGTGCACAAATATCGCCTGTCTCTGGTGTCAATCTGCGCAGAGAGTCATTAATTTCGCCCCTTTTAATCATCCCCCGCGTGACTTTTCCCTCCTCGGGTCTGTTTGGATAAACAACACTCCCCTCCATAGCAGGAACATCAATGCGAGGTCCACCGAATACACACCCGGGGGGGTCGGGAGTTGCAAAGGAATGTGGGGAACGATGGCAGCGAATGGAACGGAACAATAGGATGTTTTCACTCGGCTTTTGGTGGCCGAACTATACACATAGGAAAAAAAAAAAACAAACAAAACCCCAAACAAAACAACACCGGGAAAACCCGGTCACCCTATTGAGCCGGGACGACGCTGATTGCAACCTGAGGCTCAATCTGAAACACTCCCCAGCAGCACATCCACGGGAAGTTTTCGTGCAAGAAAACCATGCACTGGATCCCTGCACTCCCTCCTGAGCTTTATTTCGGAGGTAAGTCCACTTACTGAACGAATTTCAAGCATTAATTTAGGCTGTGGAAGCAGAGTTTGGGGCGAGATGCAAGGGCAGCGCTCGCGGTAAGGGGATGTCCGGCTGCAGACGTGAAAAAGGGATGCAGAAAAATATTATCTTTTCATGGATAATGCAAACTAGATAATAGGGGGAAAAGGAAAAGATAAAAAAAAAAGATAGGCAGCTGGAGGACTTATTTTTCCCCGAGAATTGCCATTTAAATGGAGGACATGGTTATATTATGATTGTGGTTACTTAGGGTGAAAGTAATCACTGGGCAATTGTATTTGCTACAAAATAAGGATCTCCTGTTTTCCCCTGACATCTTGCAGTTTTATTTAAGGTTTTATTTTGAGGTTTTCGTGGCTTGCCTATTTTTTCCTCAGGAATTTAGTGTTTCTGAGGGCAAGAAATAATCCAAGCTCACAAAAAAAAAAAAAAAAAAAATTGGCCAAATCAAATGCGAGGGGTGTTTAGGCAGAGGAGCCAACCCCAAATGTGCTGCCACATCCCAGTTATTTCAGAGGCTGATATAATTTTTATAAGGAGAATGATAGCCTGTATTCAAAATTGGAATGAAGGCCAGCCCAAATGGCCAACCTGTCTTCTTCTAAGGCGGAAACTCATAAAAAAGATTTCAGCTTCAAAAAAAAAATCAGCTTAAATTACAAAGTTATAAACTTCTAAAGGAAAATTTTAGGATTTGTGTGGATTTTAAAGCAATTTTAGGGGGTGGGGGAATTGTTTGGCTTAAGTGGAATGAATTTAAGGTTGTAAGAAACACAATGATGAGCAGTTTTAGGGGATCTTCCTAGATTAGAATTCAGCCCAAAGTTAATTAATTTTTTTCACCCAATCTCATTGATTTGAGGGAATTTTGGACCATGACCCTGGAACACATGAAGCACAGCAAACTGTCCCATGTCTATATTAATAATGTTTATACCTGGTCAGTATTTTAATTTCCAGATATCTGACCTGTAAGAAAAGTCAGTTTTGGTTTGGTTTTGGTCTTTTTTCAATATAGCATTCATGCTTATTTTCTAGGCCTTTTAAAGAAAGGTGAGAAAAACTGGCATTAAAATGCCCTCTCGTGGCTGATGGATTAAAAAAATCAAAGTAAAAATCCACCAAAGCCATTTAATTGACCCCGTGATTCTTTTAGAAAATCGACCTAATTCAGCTGAGGTGTCTTTTTTTTTTTTTTTTTTTCTCTTTTTCCTATGTGTATATGAGGAATTTAAACTGGTCAGTGCTTTATTTGTACTTACAAGTAAATGCTGGATTCGTTGCCCCCGATATCAGGTGACTGGAGTTTCTGCACAAGTATCACAATTATGCCAATAAAAAGCACAAAGTTTATCTGGAGGGAGAAAAAA